AAAGAAGCCTGATGATCACTGTTTTCAACGTGTGAATGTTACTTTGTCTCTTCTGGCATGTAATGCACATGAACCATTTTTGGACAGAATTGACACTGGTGAATGAAAAATGGGTTCTCTATGCAAATATTAAATGCCAAAAACAATGGCCCAGTCCTACAAAAAAAACAAAAAAACACTTCCAACCCCAAAACCTGGACTCCATCTGCAGAAAGTCATGCTTTGCATTTGGTGGGAAACCAATTGAGTAATTCATTTCAAACTCCTCAATCCACAAAGAACTGTCAAAGCAGAGATCTATAGTCAGCAACTGGAACATTTAAATTAAGCCCTTCGTCAGAAATGCCCTTCACTCATCAATCGGAAAGGTGTTCTTCTCCATGACAATGCATGTCCACATGTGGCACATTTGATGCGACACAAGATTATGGGGTTGGGAAGTTCTCCCCCCCCCCAACCATATTCTCCATATATGGCACCATCAGATTACCATTTTTTTCATTTGCTGAAACACCATCTTAATGGGAAAATGTATGCAAATGTGGAAGGTGTTAAAGAAGACATTGACATGTTTTTTGCTTCAAAGCCAAGTGATTTCTTTAATCAGGGTATTAACAACCTGATTGTAAGATGGAAAAGCATCATCGTTAAGAATGGAGACTATTTCATTTAATAAATGTTTTGTTTTGATATAAAAGTTGTTCAGGTTTTTTCATCTAAAAAAAAAGCGACATTAATTTCTTGAAGACCTAATACATATCATGACACTACTCTCTACCAATAGTGTTGCACCACCTATATTGCTGCAGCTAACTCCCTCTGATACTCCCACTCAATCCTCCTTTTTTTGATTGGCACAGCATTGTTTAATGTTGTTGTTTTTTTTTTTTTTGCATGTGATTATCGTTTATGGACATGCTTCTTTGCCATTTAAATATTTTTAACAGTTTTATTTTACAGTGTTGCATTCACTTTTTCCTACAATTTTTGTACATATTTTTTGTTACTGAATTACCAGAGTCTTTAGTAAGAATTTGAGATGAATATATCGACAGAAATTTCTGTTACAGTCGAAAACACTACTGGTATGATTTCAATTTTAACTGCAGAGGAAGTACAGGCCAT